TTCTCAAATTTCTTTATATACATACACACCCATAAGGAGATTGAGAGGCGGCTAAAATCCGTCCCCTCTCCCTTCTTTTCTTTCATTAAATATTTCCACACACACACMCCATTCATACATATATCATATATTTATATATTTATAAATAAATATATACACATATATATATTTATAACTGAAATAATAACCAGACTATTACAGATTCATCAAGTCCATGAATACCGTGGGGGCGTTTGTCAAACCGAATGGCATGACCACAAACTCGTAGTGCCCATAACGAGTTCTAAATGCCGTCTTTGGGACATTTTCTTCACGTACCCGCAACTGGTGGTAGCCTGATCGTAGGTCGATCTTTGAGAAGTAACTTGCTCCTTGTAGTTGATTGAATAAGTCATCTATTCGAGGTACTGGGTATCTATTCTTTATCGTAGTCTTATTCAACTCCCTATAGTCGATGCACATGTGCATCGATCCATCCTTCTTTTTCACAAATAGCACTGGGCTCCCCATGGGGATGAACTCAGTCGGATGAACCCTTTATCCAACAATTCCTGGATTTGGGTCATCAGTTCTTTCATCTCCGATGGTGCTAGTCGATATGCTGATTTAGCAATCGGTGTGGCTCCGGGTGTCAAATCGATCCTAAACTCGACCTGCCTTTCAGGAGGTACCTCTGGTAGGTTGTCAGGGAACAAATCAGGGAATTCCCGAGCCACCAGGACCTCTTCTATAGATCCTTTTTCGATATTAGGGTTTACAACGTATGCTAAGTACGTCTCACATCCTTTATGAATACATCTCCTAGCTTTGATTACTGATATGAGGTTAACGTGGTTGCCAGGCCGACTACCGTACACAGTGATCTCATTCCCATCCTTATTTCTCACTCGAATTTGTTTCTTGAAACAAATAATGTGAGCCTGATGTTTAGACAACAGTCCATTCCTATGATAACATCGAATTCCCTAACGCCCATAGGTAATAAGTGGACCTCAAAGTCTTGACCCTCAATTTCTATTGTGCAATTAGCAAAACACTCTCATACCATGGTGATGTTACCATCAGCAGTTTCGACCTCTAAGTTTTGACTAAGTAGCGTAGGAGACCTTCCGAATCGCATGCAAAACTTAGTGGAGACAAAAGATTTATTTGCATTCGAATCAAATAACACTCTTGCAGGTATTTTGTTTACTAGAAATGTACCTGTCACTATGTCGGGTGCGTCCTTTGCTTCTTCCGCAGTCATCTGGAAGACTCGATCCTTCCCCTTTGGCGCATCCGGTTTCTTTCCGCTTGATCCTCCGAGCGGCCTTGGTGGCTCTGTGTTCTTCTTGGGGCATTCCCTTTGGCGGTGCCCGGGATCTCCACACGAGTAGCAGATAGGTCTAGCCTTGCATTCTTTTGACAAGTGCCCAGGCTTTCCACAAGTAAAGCAAACTCCCTTGCCAAACCTGCATTCGCCTGGATGGTTCCTTCCACATGTGGCGCACGGAGACATTGCCCCACCTTTCTCCCCAAAGGCTTGAGTTCTCTTGAATTTTTCTGGGCCAGCTTGATTGATCTTTTTTTTCTTAGATGCATCCGGGACATAACTGTCCTTTTCAGCAAGGGTGGCTAGTTCTACCGCATCTTGAAAGGTAGTAGGTTTTGACATTCCAACAAGCCTCCTAAGTTCCCTTTTCAGTCCGTCAACAAACCGATTTACTTTCCTCATCTCGGTATTCACTTGGTGYTCCGCAAATCGCGACTTCTCAATAAAGATCTCCACATATTTCTCTACTGTCATGTTCCCTTGTTCCAATTATAGGAACTCACTTTCTAGTATCCTCAACTGGAGTGGTGAGAAGAACTTTTTGCTCATTAGCTCCTTGAATTCTTCCCATGTGAGGGATGCAGTTCCAGATAGTCCCTTAGTGGCCCTAATTGATTTCCACCATTGCAAAGCGTTCGATTTCAACTTGGTTGATGCGAACTGCACCATATCATTTGGTGCACAATGACATGTCAGAAAACAACTCTCCATCTCATCGAGCCAGGTCATAGCTGCTAGTGGTCCATTTTTGCCCTCAAAGATCGATGGACCCGTGCTGGTGAAAGATTTGTAACTACATCCCCTACCACTAGGTTTCTGAACTTCATTATGATCGAAGAGTGCCTCCCCATTTGACTCTTTCTGATTGTGGGATTCATTCTTAGATGATTCTCTATCTTTATAGGTTTTACTTTTCGGAGGTTCGGCGTGCTTCAAGTGAGCATCAACCATCTTAAGGGTTGCAGTTTGAATGCATTCAAGCATTCCAGGCAAGGCATCATGCATACAACGTTCCATCTCCTTGGCGATGTCCACTTCTGGGTGTGCGAGCTGAATCGTTGGTCTAATAGGACTGCTCCGGCTTTCAGTTGGAGTTGAGATCACACCCTCAACTCGATTATCTTCACAACCATTAACATTCATCGACCTTGTCACTCTCTTCGACATTCTATAGTAGTGAACATTTCGACCGTCAGCATGCTTATGCATATTATTTTGTTATATATATATATATTGTTATGCGAAGAAGGTAAAATCTCCGTCTTTCTCTTCCATGCTAAGTGGTTGAGACTTGTCTCATTACTAACCAACCCATCATTAGATGCACATGACATACATACGATTTATATTTGCAACTTCATCAGCCAAATTTTTTTTTTGCCAAAAGCATCATTTATGCAAGTATCAGTTCCCAAATAATTTGGACCAAATACCGCATACGAGTAATAAGGTGCAATATACTTCTCGTTCATCCCTGTAGTCATAATTTAAGATCTGTTTATTTCTAACCGTGATAGGTGCTTTCCTTGCCGCTAGATTATCAATTAAATCTTAGGTTGGTAATTATGCATATATTTATTATCACTTACTACACTTATAGATGCTTGGGCCGAACAATAAGAATTTTATAATAAAAGTGACGCACCATGCATTGCTTGTGAGGGAGAAAGCTATTTACAAAAATTCCTATTACAAAAATTTTGGGATAAGTTGAACATGCCTCCAAAATGTCAACTATCAAAAGTACCCCAAAATGTACTACATCAGCTAAAAGGTAATAGCTACAAATAGGAAGTGAACTTTTAGATATTTCTCTTGCAGACAATTCTCACCCGTAGGGCATTTCTGGGAGGTATGGGTCCCTCATCCATTGCTCAAAAGTCACAGGCGGCTGGGAGTGCCACAGTGTGCTAACCCTTGGACCCCTTTTGTAGCACTTGACCCAGGCGGCAAGGTACTCTTTTACAACACCTACATAATGTGCGGTTGCTCTTTTCTAGAATCGATACCTATCTCCAATACGTCTAGTCCATGTCCTAACAGCTATTCTCCGCTCTTGCGCTAGTTGCAACCTCAATATGTGTCGTTCTTCCCGTAAGTCATCCCTTTCAGTCATTGCACTGAGGTGTGCCCTTTGCAGATTATCAAGCCAGCCTCTCATTTTCTCATTTTCTCTTAAGGACCGGGACAATCTATCCTTCGACTCATCAATCGTTTCTTGAAGGGTCACTATCTTTTCTTCCAAATTGTAGCGTGTAGGAGAGCTTGGCGTGTACTCTTCGGATGGCTCATACGAGGTTTCCTCTTGGATCGACCCCCGTGATAGATTGCCCCGTGGGGGTGTTTGGTTGCCACCCGGAGTTCCTCGTCCCGAATAGTGCCTCACACTATGATGGCTACCCACCGATTCGCCGTTTGGGCATAGCCCATAAGGTGTCCTCCGCCCTCCAGGCCCACGCCCGCGTCCTCTCCCCCGGTTGATGGCTCTAGTGTGTATCGTGTGCACCATCTTCCTACATACCATAAGTAATTCACTACGTTACCTATTGATAAGAATGACAAACTTCCTTGTGACGCAAAAATGTAATACCCCAAATTCTCATGTTCTAGAATCCTCATAGAGTTTAAGCTTAGGCTAAAAGAAGACTTAACCTGTTTCTCTTAAACTAAAGCTCTGATACCAACTTGTCACGCCCCGATTTTTTTTCCTTTCCAATCGAGTGCCGTGACGTCATTCTGAATAACTTATGTCAGGAACAAAAATACGAACTTAAAATTTCAAAAAAACATAATATGTTTAACATAATTCGTTACATAATTGCGGAAGCGTAAAATACTTTAA